ATATTCATCACTTAACATCGTGATCGTTTGTTACCTTCTTTTATAAAAAAATAGCTATCGCTGGCGACTCCGTGCACGCGGAATGGACGTAAAAAAACGTATTAAGCAGGGTATGTGTGCATCCAAACTATGTTCTACAACTATGTAAAATTTCAGCGAGATCCGTCTCGCCGTTCTTGAGATACCTTCTAATAAACATTCAAACTTTAACATATACAATATTAATAAGATTGCTTTCAATGAATAAATAAGAACAATAGCATATATCTACGTTAGTTAATGATTATTACTATAGAACATAAATTAGTGTTGTATTATTACAAAATAGTTATTTATATTTATCAATACCTCTCTGTAGAAAGTACAGACTCTACGGTCACGCCCCCTGTTTTTTTTGTTAAAAATATTAGCAGATTTTTTGTAAATTTACTTATATTTCTTGTACCATTCAAACTAAGCTCTATGCTTGTGCTTGGATGTGATTTACGACAATAGTCGAATGGCGGGTTTCGAATCCCCGTACCTCGTGATCTGAAATCCGTACCCTTAACCATTAGGCTATTGGCGCTTCAAAATTGCAAAATTGCTTCTATAGATCGTTCATGTTCACACGAATACCTAAGTTAATATACAAAGCTTACAATTAAAAAAAACTCTGTTCAAATTAATTCTGAATTTATGCACGTAACGAGCCGTTAGTGAAATGGTATTGTGCGATAATTTTGGACGTAGCAACCTCTAAGTAGAAATGATTGTAACAACTGTTTAGATAAGGTTTGTACCAATAGCTTTAACGTGATATTTGTAAATGTACAATTAACATGCCCATGCATTGCTAATGTAAAATAGCGAATAAGTTGGAACAATGTCCAGAAAATATTATTGCTATCTATTTAGTTAAGGTCTAATTTGTAGCCAATCTAAATTCTATTTAAATCGCAAGCAGGAACTGTTGTTACAGAACGGAAAAAGGGAAATATTTTCTCTATCAATATTAGTTGATTTACGTTGGAGCCAAAAAAATAGCCTCTATTTGATAAATGTTTCTTCAATAAACAACTTAGTTGTGAACGTGAATGCGGTTGTACGAATTCTCTTGTCGACATATTTCACGTCTGAATGTGTCTGATGATCATACATACCAAATGACTAATTTAGACAGGAGTAGATATTATTTGATATTTAAATCAACTTGTGTTCTAATGGCTTACTCCAGACAATAATGCCTACGCAAACTTTTATATTATTAGGTGTGTAGGTTTGCTAGGTGTTATTAGTAAGGCACAAGATTTTATGATTTCTAGGAGATTCCAAAACTAAACTACGTATACTTTAAATTTCTGCATCTTCATACCTTTATCACCAGGAGTTTTTAGACGTCATCTTATTATAGTTGCACTGGACCATGATAGCAATTACAAGCTGTTTAGTGTGTCTATTGATCTGCGAATGATTGAATTAATTATTATTCAATGGTCTATAAAATTAATATTAATAATTAAAAATATAAAAATATTAGACAATATGGAATCCGCTTTATTTTATCCGATAAATGATTTCAATCAACATAAAAACTTTACTTCTTACAAAATATGCGTTCGTAATCAATGAATGTAAAAAAAATAAAACAAACGAAATGATTTGTTAATAGTTTTAATTATCAATTAAATTGTTATTGTTCGATATGATTAAAGAGAAGTAGGTCACATCCAATACAGGATGAATCAAAACAAAATGTTTTAATAGCAACGTATCGACATCGGACTTGATTTCGAATTTACGCATACATAATAAATGCTACGGTTCGTTTTAGTAAATTTTACACTTAATAAATTGAAATGTAATACGGCTTAGCTCATAGTACACCCAGCTTTTTAGAGGCTATGTCTTCCAAGTGACCGCAACGATGAACTTCACTCGAGATGCCAACGTTGATATTATCGATACTGGCAGAGGGGAGTGTTCTCGAAGTTGAGATCTACGCCGAAGGAATCTTTGGATGTTGCCTGTTTGCAGAATATCATTGATACGCAGGAATAACTCTTTTGAAAGACCTAGATGCAGAGTTTTACTTTATTTTGAGCAGAATGGGCTGCTTTATGTATCACCGTAGGCGCTGACGCCGCAGCCCAAGCTAGGTAACATTCCTGTTTGTAGCTCGCAGATAATTTGTAGATTATGCCAAACCAGGACCGAGAACTGCTCGCGATGGAGACGAGAAATAAAATTTGTAGGCCTGTCAATGTCAAAAACTGCCATAATATATTTGTGGGATTATAAAAATAGACATATATTATAAGTTTAATTTTCTAACATCATAAGTTGGTTTAAAAAACCAATATAATTTCATGTAAAAACTTTTTTACTTAATCGCTTACTCCAACGTATTTGACGTTCAAACAGACAAACTAAGAACTCATCTAATTGTGTTTGTTAATAGTTTATCTATAAGTGCCCACGCGACAGGCGTTTGCAATGACTTGTTTATGACTTGGCAGTATCAGGCGCCGGCCACGAGGGATGTCTCTGTATCGATAAACTGAAAAACAACAACAAAATTAAGGTTAGGTCAATTTTGCAATGATTTCCCTTGTTCTCGAAAGTCATGGAAACAACCGTCAATTTCTATTTTTCATAGGCATCACATTCATAGTAAAAGTATAAATAATAAAAAGATACTCGATTCCAAAATAGCAGCACGCCACCACATGTTTATCATAGTTTGGTTTATAATTAATTTGATGTCCTTTTCGTATCGAAAAACCACGAAGTAAACAAGTAAACAATGACCTTTGACCCTGTATTTTTAGTTTATTCGTACAGCGAGGCTTCCGGCCTATCTCTCACCTATCACCCTCGCGATAGTGCCCTGTTGCTATGTGCCCGCAACGCACCCTATTTATCTATAATAGTTTATTTTATACTTAAAAACGTGTTTCCTATTTATGTGTGAGGTTACTATTTGACATTTAGAAGTAAACAAGCTGCTTATATAATTTTCAGTCCTTGCTTACATGTACATGTATTCATGTCTGTTCGAAAAAAAGGTTCTTGACAGACGGACGGACGGACAACAAAGTGATCCTATAAGGGTTCCGTTTATTTTCCTATGAGGTACGGAACCCTAAAAATAATACGGCACGCTTTAACTACAACATACTACGGTTTTCCAATTACGAAATTGCTCCAGCATTTGTATAGGCAAGTTTCTTATTATTTGTAATTGGTAAGATGTAGGTACATATGTACGCAGGGTAAGAACGGGAAAAATGGTTATGCTAAGGTTAGCATTCAAAAAAAATGTTTAAAATATATATTATATAATATTTAGTTTAAAATATTTTAACAATCATTTTCATTACTAAATATAACCTTAAAGGAACAAAAAAAACAATAAAACTTATTTCTTCAAATGATAATTAAACAATTTTAATAATATGGAAAATTATGCCAGATAATATAGGACGGACAAAATGAATTATTCATCGCAATTGTTACGAAATTAAGAGCCCGTGCCCATATAGGAAGAGCACGCTTCATATGATCATTCTTGTAGTAATAATACACTAATTTAAATTATGTCTGTATATGCTTAGACAGGGATTCGTTTTTTTTTTATTTTACCTTTTTTACAAATAGCAGCATTGTGCAAAATTGACATACGTTTTATCGTTTTGCGATCCCAAAGCAAGTAAATATTTGAATTTGTCACTGACTAAAGTAACTTTTTGGATAATAACACTGGTATTACAGTTATAGCACTTAAAGTATAATTTGCGATATACATATAATAATCATTTCTTATCTAAAATTAATATTTTTGTCACAACTGAACCTTGGTGTTCCCGCCGCTCGTTTGCCCCCTTCTCTTATAAAAAAAAAAAAAAAACATAGCTATCGCACAAATTGTAGTTTGTTTAATAGCCGTAAGGTTAAAGCATTGCAGAAAACTATATTTGTCTCTTTTTAACAATTACTCCACTAATTAATTAAAACACCCTTAGTGCCCCTAATTTTGGTCGCCCGTACCCTATAGTGGTAAGGTGTAAAATGTGGCGTCGTGGTAAATATTCAGTGCTAATTATATGACTATAAAAGTCTATATTATTCTACTCGGTTGTAAACAATCTTACTTTCTCAGGATTTCATAAACGTTTTTGAGACAAATAGTGGCGAGATAACCGTTTGTGGAACAAACACATTGTTGATCCCGGGTCACGGCGATTGTTTAAATATTTAAAAAAAATTGTTTTTATTATACTAAATATTTGATCGGATAATTTAGAAGAAAATATTTTTTTAAAAAAAATATCACGTAATAACACAGGCACGATGCCTGCCTATTTATTGATAAACTAAGTACCTTATTCAATTATCCGATTTAAAATACGAGCCTTTTTACTAGGGATTGCCGAATTTGTGTTAGTCAATTTGTCGCTAAGGCAGACCCTTTAAATTTAAACTTTGAGTGCGACAGAATAATTTGTTTGTTTCCATTCGCTCGGATTATCAATTCTACTACTATGAAGAGTTTATCTGTCCGTGGCAAAAATATTTTTTTTATAAGAGAAGGAGGCAAACGAGAAACTCCGGCATATTGTCATCCGAATTATGATTATCTTTAAAAAGTTATTTTGGTATGATAAGAAATTATTATATATAATATACTGATACTACACATATGTAAATGGTTTGCGATCACTAGGAAAAGTTGTCAAAAGTCAAGAGTTTATCAGGATATTTTTTTCAAATTAAAGAAAATGTGTTTTACATCATTAAAAATTTTGCTTGATGAAGATACATTAAAAAAAATTTTAAATACATTTTTGGTATCGATCGCCAACTCTTTTGTTGTGTTACAAAAAAAACTATATTATACACCAACAATGAAACTTTTAATTAAGTTTAGTACGAAGTACATTTAATTGATTTCTTTTGTATAATTATTGCAATTTCATTAATTTAAATGATACTGGGAAATATTTTTCATTTAATTAATTATTTAATAATCAATGAAAAGTAAATCACGTATTGTTACCAGTTATCATTAATCTTATCGTAATGATATTTTGTAAATGACATTATCGATGTAAGTTTTAAGTAATTCCGTACTATGGACCAGAGTGAGCTTATTTTTAGAACGGCATCGTCGATGTAGCTTCATTCATCAGGTTACTGTTAACCAGACCAACCATTTATTGTGCTATTAGTTAAATTAAAAAAAAAGTTTCAAATGGATGTTAAATATATCGTACGTATTTTTTTTTTCGTTATATTTTTTATTTTTTGTGCCTTAAAATTATATTGAATTTGAATGTGATTATGTGAGTGAGTTTAAATGTGCATTGTTTTGATAATTTGTATTCGAATACAGGATTATTGTGCATTTGTTTGTTTTTTGTTATTTTTGCATAATTTTTTAAGATACTATTTTTATGCGTGGTTTTACAAAATTACACGACAAAATTACAAAAACATATTTTTTTCAAAATAGTGTACATTTAGATTCTAAATTTCACAGCATTTCTAATTCGGGAATAGCACTTGTAATTTTTTTTAAATATTTTTTGACAATAAACAAATCGATTCGAGAAAGTGGATTAAAAGCAAAGTTTAATCTGGTTCAAGGTAAACAATAAAAACATTGACTAAGTAAGATATAGAACGTAAACAATGCCTAATGCTTTCCAATGTTGTTGTATTATTATCATAATTAGAACAACTCTAAAAATAGACAATAGTTGTTGATATCACTTAGCTCAATAAACAAGCATATTCTAGACAAATATTTATTAGTTACATGTTTATATCGGCAATAATTAGTATTCTCATAATGCATAACATTATTAAGAAAAGTAAAAAAAAACTAATCTAATTTTTAAGTAGCTTATATTTTAAGTAGATGGCACAACGAATTTATATATATTTTTTGAGATTGAATAATAAATAAGCTATATGCTTTCATGAGGTCCAAGTTACGAGATATATTTTTAAAAACTACTTATAAATTCTTTGATAAGAATAATTTTCGACTGAGGTTCGTTGAACACAAGGACAAAGACCTTTAATATTTTATTTCGTTAAATATTGTGAACATGGTGTTTTCTTTTTAGCTGTACGTTGTACTTTTGTTAAATAGAAACATCAATACGGCGTATGGATCAGATATCAACGATACATTCAAAATAACTGACAGAGTATTCAGCTGCAGCAACTGGCTATCTTCACTAATAGACAATATTTGCAATAATGTATACAAAATTGTTAAAAGGGACACATCGCTTATGATCGGTGAGTACACACACTTTACACATAATCCAGTAATCCGCGTACTATAAGTTTACTTCGCGTTTAGTGTAACCTCACCTTTATATTGATACATCTGTATGTCTTTATCGATTTTAACATCGATACGAATATCTACGCGTTAATGAATCGTAATCGTATGTATTTTAATCGATATTAGAACATGTGCAAGAGTTCATTTGACTACGCATGAATTTACTCTGTAACGGTCAAGCGTCACACCATTGTAAATGATGCAGTGTGCACACAGCGTTTTGTTTACTAGCAGATGACCGAGCGTATGCTCTAACGCACGTGTGCACGTTTCTTTATTTGTCATACAGGTAGATAAATGTTGATTAAAACCGCAAAAGGAATTTTCACGATCGCGTAAGAAAAAGATGTTATTTATAAACAGTGCTTATTTTTGTTTGCACAACATTATTCAGCGAAATTTTTGTAGAAAAATAGTAGTTTTAGGCTTAAAACGAAAGTATTTTCTACAGTGGTATAAAAAGATATACTAAATTTAGAACAATATGTCAAATGGCTCATTCTGTCCTTCGATATAATAGGTTTGCAGCACATATTACTTTTTGTTTTTAAATATTATTATAATATAGTCTTTTAATTTGCAGAGAAAATGGCACCTAAAGATCTACAAAAGAGTATGTACAAGCAACGCTTACTTACCGAAGAGCATTGGCGACGCGTGCGCAGACAAGTCGCCAGCGAATGTTGCGAGCGTGCGTGTACAGTCGGCAACATAATCATGTACTGTCCTGACGACGCTAAACTATTGCGAGAAAATCCCGACATATTTTATTGAAACGATAACACCAAATACGATACAATCATGTATCAGTGAACATTTTATCTACCTCATGCTTCCGAGACAAAGACGATTCTTAGTGAATCTGATGTTCCGAAAGTAGCGTAATAACTTTGTATTATTCGTTATAACTGGCAAAGTTACAAAGTCCGTCCAGTATTTACGTGGTTAATTATGTGATCTGATGAATCGACAATTTTAAATATATTGTAAAAAAGGATTTTCCTTTTTGAGTTAAATATGAGTGGGTACATTTACTAATATCGTAAAAATTATAAACTTTATGTGTTAATAATTCGCAATGTATTTTGCTTTAATTATTATATAATGATATTCTGTACCACTCTACTTATGCCTTATTTAATTGTGCAGGATAGTATTATTGTGATAGTATTACAATTAAAAAGGTAAAAAAGGAAATGGTCTTTTTTTTATTTATTCCAAAAATGAGCGAAAAACAAACAGGTCTAATTGAGAGCGTCGGTGGCTCAGGGGTCAAGCACTTGCAATCTGCAGGTCCTGGGTTCGAATCCCGCCATGTACCAATGTGTTTTACCGATTTCCGATTTACATATGTACATTTATCCAACGTTCTTACGGTGAAGGAAAACGTCGAGATGCAATCTGCACATATCTGAGAAGAAATTCAAAGACATGTGTGAAGTCAACCAACCTGCACTTGGCTAGCGTGGTTGACTATGGCCTAATCACCCCAAACTTAGGGTAGGCTCCGAGCCCCTCGGTGAGGACCTATAGTGAGCTGATGATGAAACAGGTCTTATGTGATGTGACCTTCAATCATAGTTAAAGACAACCGCAGATCCATTAGTTGCTTATCTTTAATGGACTGAGTAGAAAAGACACAAGACCGTCACTTATATTATTGTTAGTTACTTGAGATCTGTTCAAAAAAATATAATATGAGTTAACGAATCGCACTCGCAAAGTATGTTAAGTGCTAGATAAAAATAGACAGACCCTTTAAGCAAATACGATCAAAATATTATATTCCGCTCGTAAAAGCTTACTTAAGAGAAGAAAAAGAATAAGTATTTATCAAATACTCTTTTCTTTGTACTTGAACATAATTATCGTCGATTGCTTTCTTTGTGTACTAATAGAAGCTTTTATTTTTTATTTGTAGTCATTAATAACAACTTCAATAATAGATATTTTCTTTTAATAAAGATAATAAAAAAGAAAAATACAAATGAAGGTTGTCTTTTATATTAATTGATACTAATCTTAGTTATAAATTATAATGTTAAAAAAAATTATATTAAAAATTTAGGTTTCATGCTAAAGAAACTTCATCGTTTTATAATATCTTTAATTTATCTTTACAATCTTAATTAAAAATTAGAAATATACGCCTTTGGCAAAAAACATCTCAATAACGACTCCTTTCTTACTTACGTCTTTTTTCATATTTAACATATACTCAAACAAGTATATTTAAGCCGATGAGAGGCGCTACTATCGTAGTTGGTTCCTACGCAGTTGTTACATACTCTTTGATTGGTTCTGTCAGAATATATATAAACCCTTCTTAGACGCACAAAATTAAAAAAAAATACACGACAGCACAAAGAGACTGATACCAAGAGGATCTTGTAATATTTGACGTCGATAGGAGGGCGCTAGTGAGCAGCCAATTTAGTTTGACTTATGCCCACCGGGTCAGATATCCCTGTCGGTCTATAAAACAATAATAATATAAGAAACGACATACCTATGAACTGGTTCTAGTCGGTTTTTTAAATGCCTAAATAAACTAAGTAAAGTAAAAGCATAGTGTGCTGCCTTTTTGTAGACATCGCCGCCGATGTGTGCGGGTTCGTGTCTAGTCACGAAACAGTTGTCAAGTCTGAAACAACAAAAAAAAAACAATTATGGTACTAAATTTTTTTGTAAAGCTCTTTTTAGGCTTGGATATAGTTGAAAAATGTTGTCTAGAGAATAATAAAAAAAAAGGAACGCGTCTGTAAACTTATTAGGGCCACTGAATATTTACTGTGCCACATGGATATGACATTTGAAAGATTTTAATGGACAGATTATATTATACGTGTATTTTGTTTTTACCTGGGTTCTGCATCTGATGATGGCTAACTTTTGAAGGCAGAATCGAAGTTAGGTGTTCTACCTCTGTTGCGGTGAATTCTGGGGTAGCTAAGTAGTATAAGAAAAAAAAAACATATAATAGACAAAAGAAAAGATGATGGATACTATGACTGGCATGTAGCAAAAAAATTTATTTTTAAATATATTTATCATTATAAGTAATAGCAAATATACAGTTATACGGAAAAATAAATATTGTAATTAATTTTGAACGATTTCATAAAGTGGAGTACTAACTAAAGTTTGCCGCATTCGTAACTGGGTCCGATGACGTCACAGTTCGAACAGACGAAGTGCTGATTTCAATCGATGTGGCCAGCGCTAGAAATGTTGGAAAATTTAAAACTTGCATTGCTTCTTACAGGAGATTAGCTAGTGATATTTCTAGAAAGTAACATTAAAAACGTAATACAAGATTTAATTGGAAATTATTTTAACTTTATAGCGTCAATATGGGTATAGAAGGACGTCTAGGGAGCCCCCCTAAGATATGCAATCTTTGGAAGATTCCAGACACCAAAAAAGGGGGCGCCGCATAAATCTCGTCCAAGGCGCTTGAAAATGGTAAACCGGCCCTGGTTGGCGTAGATTATGAAGAGCTGATAAAATATTTTTCTGCCATAAAATAGGTAATATTTGATTAATATATGAATATGAAGTATTTAAATACTCACTGTAAAGAGTGACAGTGGAATTGTCAGCTCCAAGCGAGTTCTCTGCTAGACATTGATAGAGCCCCGCGTCTTCTCTTGACACGTTGTTAACTGTGAGACTGCTTACGTGTACATAGCCACGTGAGATCGTCTTTGTCTCGTACTTTAATCCTACATGAGAAATACTTCTTGATAAATGCAATTTATTAGAAAGAAATCATACGGATAGGGTGTTTCTCGTATATATAATATTACTAATATTATAAGTACGAATGTTTAGATGTATGGATGGATCGATTGATATTTGTTTGACGGTATCTCGATGAAATTTGGCATACATATAGAACATAGTCTGGAAGAATACACAGACGTAACCGCGGGCGACAGCTATTTATGGTATAAATTAATATGTCTTTCCTAGTAAGTTTTGGAATCCTTTATCCCTTTTCTGACTTTTTTAATCTCTTCCTCTACTTCTTTTCCTATCTACTATCTCCTATTTTTTCACTTCTATAATTAGTTGGTAGTAACAAATGGTCATTAACATTATAAATGCGAATGATTTGATGAATTGATGTTTATTAGAAGGCTACGAACGGTTGCATGTATATCGCTAAAATTTGGCATTGATGTAGAACATAGCATGGAACACATAGGCTACTAATTCTACCAAGACAGCTAGTAAATATATAAATACACTGAAATATATGAATAGTGCAATAAACAAGTAATATCATCACAGCAAGTACCATTCATCAGGCGATTCCCGCGCATATCGTTCCAGTGTATCACTGGAGGAGGGTAAGCTTCAATATAAAACCGCAGTGTCGTAGCACTGTAGATGTGTGCTCCGACCTGTTGCTGTACCGCCTTTACTCTTGGCCTACCTGAGAATACATACCTATCTATGTATAGATTTACATACTGAAGGTTAATTCTTATTCATCAGAAATCTTATAACCATTTTATTGATCATCGTGGTAATGTTTGTAACAAATATTTTTTTATATACGGCAATGTTCAAGTCAACGCTTTCATAATATTAGCTGGTAATTAAAAACTTTTTCCAAAATATTATTAAAAAGTTTTTAAGTAAGGAATATTTTTAACAGGATGACGTACGTAAGCGTATTTACTCCGTAGCGCTACGAAGTTGTAGCACGCTACGTATTTTTGGAATTTTATAGACGGAAATGTGAACATGAAAGGTGTCCACTGCGATAATACTTATGTTAAAACATAATGTTCACTCTGTTTTCAAAGATGACGATAGGGATGCCAAAATATTTTCATGTAAGTTTGACAGTTTAGGTACAAAATTTATTTGCCTAAAACAAATGTGTCCAAACGTATAAGAAAAAATTAACAATTCTAATATGTATAAACTTGTATATGTAAACTTACTCAAGACGAATAGATGTATTCTTTTGCTGACGCTTGGCGGTATTCCGTTGCTGGCAATACAGAGGAGCACGCAGTTCATATCCCGTTGAGCCACTGAAATGTTCAGCCATTCGCCTTCCCATTTCAATACTACAAAATGTTAATTATATTTTCTTTACTATTCAATTTTGTTAGTTTCACTATCTAGTAGACAGGACGTTTCAATTTGAAAAGTAAAAAGTTTTATATGTTATATTTGTCGCAAAATTTATTGTTACATTGCACTATATATTTGACCAATGAGATTTAAACATAAACATTTACCTAATTACACTGAACTGGCATTCGACAAAATAAAACGGCTGTCAATTGTCTGGGAAATTCAATCGACATCTGAAATCTAATTTCGATAATAAATTTCGTGCTATTGTTGTTACTTCGTGAAGTAGTTTTCGATTTAGTTGAATACAATTTTGTAACTACTAAAATACATTCCGTAATCATTATTGACAGTTTAGCTTGAATAACAAAGGTACATTGTTATTGAAAATCTATTTATTTCACTTTGCGCACTCGCTCTTGGTGATAACATAAATTTATAATACACTAGCAGTATCTAGCTACCAACTCAGCAACGTTTTAACACATCTTAATAAAATTTGCCTAAATCATATTGAAAAAACTCGAGTTAGATACTTTTCACCTTTTTTTCTACGTAGGCGAAGTCGCGGGCAAAATCTATAGTATTTTAAAACAATGTACTTACCACTTTCGCCAGCAATAGTTAGAGGTTTAAATTCCTCCGTTTTCCAAGTGATGTTTGGTTGTGGATTGCCCGATGCCGCGCAGTGCAGGGCTACACTGCCACCCTCGGCCACAATCACTTCACCATTGCTGGAATCCACAATCTCTGGCGGAACTGTTAATATAATAAAATTAAACTAAAAACATAAACTTTCTCCCAAAATTTACATTATTTGTGGACTTTGTAAAAACGAGAGGAAAGAAGCATTTGAAACGTATTTCTACGAATACTTTTAAAGGCCTAGAAGCAAATTGTTCAGAAGTAAGCATTTAATTTAAAATTTTACTAAGAATTGTAATTTCCTCCGTTCTTTACTATTCTTCACAGCCATTCATATCAATCTTAAAGAAGCGATGAAGGTAAAATCAAATTCGTGTAAAAATGATCATACCATAAACTTGAAGGTGATGTATTTGCACGATCATGGGATCAGTGTTGAGCTGGCACATGTATCGTCCGGCATCACTAGGGCTTGTGTCTCGTAACGCTAGTGTGCAGGAGTGAGGATCACTCAGTACTCCCACCCGCGGGTTTTTTGTTACTACCAACTGACCCACAGTCAGTATTGTCTGGGTGTCAACTCGCAACCACGCCACCTGGTTAAAAACGTCTTTTTTTACATATCATAAAATCAAACATTTTCTATCGTCTATAGCAGTTGTTCCCAAACTTATTTTATCTACTGCCCAGTTTGACTGGTCTATAGCAACACTTTTAAATATTCTATTCTAAAGTATAAAAGCCAAGATTAGGTTGTCTTTTAGGTAACTCCGTACAAAAATTCGATTCGCTATAAATCTACAAATATATAATATAATGCAATGCAAAGATACCATGTAGTTTTGTAAGTTTTCCACGTTGCAAGTAAGGTATGCGTCGCGTCCCACAACGACTGTAACATTTGTCTCAGAACTGGTTATGCTGGGCACGTCTGAAACAAATCAGTAGGAGATAGGATGATTTCTTATTGCAATATACTCTTTATAGTAGATCATTTAAACAATTTTCAACCACCGAGGGATATCAGAAAACCATTAGAACAAGAAAACAAATAAATTTTGTGTCATAGCATATTTAAATATACATTATATTAGCTTTTATTAAGTAAATAATAATATCATTTAACTTCCAGTTAATATAAACAATACACAAGCGAACGTTGTTTTACAGTTTCGTATTTTGTAAGAAATTTTGATATATATGAAATATAAATAGATATTGTAGTCTCAGTTAATAAAAATACACCGAGAAACATGGAATAAAAAAAAAGATTTATTCTACCTAATAACTTTATTGATACTATTAATAGAGTATTTGTATTTACCTTTTGAAAAAACTATATGCAGGATAACAGGAATAAAAAGTAATTTTATAGAACACATTTTAAATATTACGCATCAATCACGGCTTCACTATTACCGAATAATTTTATTTAATCACTAATAAGTTTCCCGCGTAAAATTTCACTTTGATATTCAGAGCTGAATTTTCAGACGTGTTGTGCGTCGAATTGGCAATTCTAACTGGCGTTCAACACATCCAAGCAAAAATAAAGGCTGCGGAAATGCGCAGGTCCAAAATGTACATGATATATAATAAAAGGCTATTTTAGTGCCCCGGCAAAATAATACGTCCCTTAATAAAACTTTTTGATTGACTTCACTTTCACACAAAAATAAGCTTTTAGAAAATATAGAACAAAAATAATTGAATCTAGAAATCATTATATATAAAAATCAATTATGAAATTCTACTCTAGAATCTTCATTCTTTTTGCTAGCAATTATAAAAGATATCGAATATTTCAAAGCCCTTTCTTTCTATTATCGTACAATAATGATCAATTAATTTTAAGCAAAAGGTTTCTCGTTTAAAGGGTCAACAATACTAAGTTGTTTGTTCAATAAAGTATGCAAGTAGTATGTTTTTTTTTATTAAATCAATTTTGGAAAATGAAACATAATTTAATTTCTAATATATATTTAATTTATTTTCTTTATTAACTTGACAATTTCATTTCCCGTTTAGTCTTCCACAATAAGCTTCAACGGTGAAGAAGATTATAGATATGATCCAACCTAAAATTAACAAGCCTATAGTACCGGCGAAATATTTAACATTCATAGGTTCATACTGATGCTTTGTCTGATCACATAATTTACTTTGTAAGTATGTGCTTTGCGTGTACACTCTCTGTATAAAACCGCATTCCACGAGTATCTTTAAAATCCTATTAACCGGTCCAGTTAGCGCAGAATACTTAGTAAAATAAATTACAGAAGGACTGTTCACGATCTTTTCTGGAATGATTTGCAGTTTTCTTGAACCATTATATTGTTTCAAATAGTCCATAATAACCTCCTTATTGAACGCGAGCACAAAGTTTGAGGTTCCAGTAGATAGTTCATCTAAGATCTCGTAAGTATTGGAGAAGTTTAAAGACATCCAATTGTTGGAGATATCATCGTCTTCTGAATAATAATCCCTTAAAGATTCAAGACCACCGAAGGGATATTTGTCACGCAAAACTTCTTGTATATTTGTAAATTTCTTTTCATACAATTTATGTTTCAATGAATCCTTGAGAGCAGCTTGGTAGCAGGATCGAATAATAAAACTAAACCAAATCCAGATGTAAACGAATACAACAAAATTTCTTTTCGATGGCATTCTTAAAATTGGCAGCCCTAAAAAAATTACCCATGAATAAAATAGTAAATTAACATTAGGCGGTGAAGCATTAATTACTTTTGTAATATTCTTCCAAAATCGGGTCCTAGTCAACGAGTTCAATATAATAATTATTAAAAACATCAATATCAATATAAGTCTCGGGTAAAATTTTAGAGGATGCAAAAGTTTTTCCCAAGCAGGCTTTAATAAAGGTAATTTAGCTGTCCACACAATATCCATCGTATTGTATGTGAAAGAAATCTGAAAATTTCCATATAAATCTGAAGTCAGTGGAATAGAACACATCGAAGCGTGGGCTCTGAAATTGTAAATGTCTCCCAGTGAACCCGTCCAATTGTTATCTTCATATGTACCCCATACTTCACCTTCAGTTGGTAATTTTAATACTAAAGTAGCGTTTAATATATCTGATAAAAGTGTCAATACATCGCCATCGATTCCGCTCGGATTTTCAGAGGAATTGAGAATCATAAAAGGAGGTTGCTCAAATGTCGACACAATTAATGGACACTGGTGAAAATTTGTTAGTTGCTCTCGAAACATCGATTTCCAATTCATTGCGTTTTCGCTATTGTTAAATTTTATTTCAAAAGGAATATCGTTAACGCATTTTTCGGGTTCTAAAAATCGATAGGAAAAGATTTGTGGATTATTCTCGTTCTGAGCTTTTAGAACAACAACATTAAGAATGCGCTCATTAGATATTGTTTGGAATATTTCATCTTCTCCACATTCTTCGTAATCAATCGTAGCACAAACAATAATAAATTTTCCAGATGTATCATACATCGATTCTCTGAGCCATTTCAACATATCTGATAATTCAGAAGACTGTGTTCCGAACAAAACGTATTGTGATATATGCGTTCGTTGAGATGGTAAATATTTGCCTCGTTTCAGAATAACCGATTGATTGTACTTGCTCAGAAACACGTCGACTGCAATCAATGTCTGTATATTGAACATAACAAAAGTTACGAATCGCCATTCGAAGTTGTAGTAACCAATTTCTGAAGCCATTTCACCGAGTTTTAATATAACTGGTGGATCATCGTCCATTAATATTGGAGCACAGGTTGTAGATATACCACACATGTTCGCCGTTCACAGTTATGTACATGTATAATGAAAACTATTTTTGTCTAAACGAGCGATTGTCGTGATTGCCAATACTTCGTAAGTAATAATGTCATTTTACTTCGGATTCTGTCGAGTAAATTATTTATGCAATCACTTAGGAATCAAACTGTTTTATCATGATTATGTTGTGTATAAAAGATAAGATTTTTTACATGTTAAATTAAACCATTTTTTTCTACGTTTGTGTTATAAATATAATTTTCTTTATTTAAATTTGGTTATATATCTTTAATTCGAAAAAAAATAAAATATTTTTCAGCAGATCTAACTACGATTTCTAAGTATAAGTACATTTACGAAGATGACCTGGACCTTCCAACAATCAGTTCTAATATAAAAAATATAAGCGACATAATCCAGCCTCCGATGAGAATAGCATAGCAACCAGTATAATGCACAAGATTGATTGCCTTTTTCTTCCCACTTGACCTACTCGTATATTTCGATTTTGTATAGTTTTTGTAAAGTTTAGACGTAAATCCAGCTTCTATCAATTGCGTTAAAATTGTATTCATCGGTGCTACCAACGGGGAGAATTTGTTAAAGAATATCACAGTTGGGCTGCTGATTACCTTTTGTGGTAACTTATGCAGATCGACGCTTAGGTTTCTTTGAAATAATTTAAATGTTTCCGTGTTCACTCCTACAACAAACTTTTGGCCATTTGAAATGTTTAGCATCGTGGGAAAGATTTCGTTGCTTTCCAAATTAATCCACCGATTATAAATTGTAGGTTCATCTATATAGTAATCTTTAAGTGCCGGCCCTCCGCCGATTTCGTAGTTAGCTGCAATAGCATCCTCTATAGTCAGCAGATCTGAACGATATTTGTTAGTCTTCAAAGCTTTTATAAGGAATACAGTGTAAATAGTTCTGACTAAGAAGCAATACCAAATCCAGAAGAGAACGACATACAGAAATGCTGAATTTTTAGGTAGCTTCGTTGATGGCAAACCCATGCATAACTCCCATGAATAGAACACAAGGCTGCGACGTGGTCGTATCGTCTTAGTTGCCCGAAATACGCATTCACTACATTTACTCTTCACGAATATAGCTAGTATAACAATAACTATAAATGACACTGCCAAAGCGATCCTTACTTCGAAATTAAAAGGACGCATTAATTTTAAAGATGGAGACTCTAAATCTGAAGGGTGAGTGACCCACACAACGCTTACTGTATTATAATCCATAGACATTTGGAACTGTGAGAATCGACTGAGTGTGATACTAGCAGACGTCATAGAGAAGTTGGCCAAGTTATAGTATACGTCAGCGAGTGATCCAGACCAAGTTCCGTCATCTTCTAATTTACCCCATCCGAAGCCCCGATGTGGAGTCCTTAGTACGAGGCTAGCGTTTAACTTTTCTGCAATAAGAATAAGTAAATCTCCATCGGCACCCGAGGGAACACCATTAGTTATTGTCATATAAGGCTTCTGTTTGAATGTGGACACAGTTATAGGACACGATTGTAAGTTTCTTAATTTCAAAGGAAACATTTCTATACATTTCTCGTCGTTAATGAATAAACAAGAATGCCAATTATCTAATTTAATTGGCCGAACACTCTTACAATCATATTTTTCATTAAAATAGCTAAACACGTCTGTCTCGTTCGTCGATTGTCCTGTTTTGAGTAACACAACATTAACTATTTTGTAATTCCAAAAAATGTTTACAGCCTCTGCTTCATCGCAATCGTTATTCGATAAACAAATGATGATGTACTTGCCGGTGTTGTCAAACCGACGTTTATCCATCCATTTCAACATTTGCGCGATGTTTGTTAGATTTGTATCGAAGAGTATATACTGATGAATGTTTTCCGCAAATCGTGGATAAAAATGGCCATTGCTTAGGATTAAAGTTTTCTTGTATTTCTTCACAAAGTAGTCGATGCCGTATAAAATAGTCATGTTGTAGAAGACAAAGGTTGTGAACCTCCATTCGAAATTGTTAAGCGCTATAACTGCAGCGCTTTTTGCTAAATTTTCAAAAGCCGAAAAATTCGATGGCATCAATAATTTATAAAGTATGCTTTCATTAGCCCACATGTCGGCCGCGTGAGTATAAGCGATTGAATATAATGTAGTCCGTGACAGGACACTGCGACGGCGATGTAATCTCGAGCTAAAATCACACCTAATGGTGCAAATGGATCACACAATGAATCATAATTACCTCATAAAGTAATGAACAACCTTATTGAAGAAAAGTGTCACGAAGAATACAACGCCTGATAGTTTTATTTAGTGGAGATTTTCTCTTTAGGAGAAAATATCATTATTGATTAAAGTTACCGATGTACGGGTGTCTGTAGATTACAAGGTCAAAAAAAAACTACTCGCTTAGCTGAAAAAAATTATATTTTATGAGAAATTATAATTTACAATATTACATACAGGCATCCATCTTCAGTCGAAACTTAAGCTAAAATTCTCACAATCTCACGCAAAAGGTAAAGCAACGTTAGACTATAATATAGTTTTTAGCATTATTTTGAATGTCCACTGTAAAAAAAATATAGGTAAAATCACGCCAGTACAAGAGAATTCAGACCATTCGTACGACAGTTACCCGACGTGGAGGGCGCGGCGGACGGGCCGAGGCATGCAACCGGCGTCAGGCGAGACAACTAGTTTCATTTATAATATAGTCATAAATTAAACTATATGTACGGAGACAGAATAAGAAAAATGTATTGAATGTAGGACGGAAAATAATTTTAGTTTAGTCACAGTAAAGTCTGAAAAATTAAATAAAACTATATAGTTGTAGGTCAGTTAAAATGCTTTTTACTATTCCGGTAGAGTAATGTTGAGAATTATATCAATAATTCAATAGTGCTTTCACAATAAATCTAAAATAATTACTAAAATGTTACCATAAACACCTGTAACCAAATATGCAATAAACATTAATTGAAGCCCAAAAATCCAAAGGAACGCTAATAGTTTCACTATGTTCAATCAAGGAACATAATTTGTCGTACAAACCACAAAATATAACATCAAAGTTGTCATCTCCATTAGCGCTCCCGGTAACCAAAAATGAAACAGAACAAAATAAAGAAAACAATCATTTTAATATATTTATTCTATTTAGATAAAAATCTTCGATTTTAAAGAGTAATATAAAGGTCACGGTCATAAATAAGTCAAATATCCTGGCCCTGTTTTTCTTAAAATATACTTTTTTTTATTGATTTTGTGACATTTAATTTGTTATACATTAAAAAGATAAGTCAATTAGATTTATAAACTAAATAAAGGGTTTCAAAAGTGTCAAGTTAGTTACGCTAAATTTAAAGAGAGAAAGCTACATATTCCTGGGTCACTTTGGGTATCAGCATCAAGTTTGGAGAACTCCAGTCGTTGTGGGTCAGGTCACGGCAAATATAAAAAAAATATTAACCATTTTGGACTCTCACAATTTTCTTATTCCGTTTACATATCATTACATAAACACACACCTGACGCCCACTGCACTGTACACAGCTGTATCACCCACACTTATATACTTTAATGTATTGAAAAAGAAAACTATAAGATCAGTCTGTACATCATTACTTATAAAGGCATTAAAACATATTCCCTTTGGCAAATAAGAGAGATTATCGATGGTGCTGTCTCCTCGGGCGGCGTGCGGTGAGATTATGGGGGGGATGGGGGGAGAGCCCGCCGCGCCGCTCCGCACGGACCGCGTACGCTGGACACCGGACTCCTAACTCCTAACCGATCGACGCATTGCTGCACAGTTGCACAAACCAAACATAGTTCTATGTACACACAGAGATTGCACATCAATGGGTAACATCACTAGAAATATTCCAATATTGTGCGCTAAGTTTCAAATTCACAATATCTTGAGCATCTCGGACAGCTGTATCTTATAACCAAAAGCAAATAGTTTTGCTATTGACAGTGTCGGTGGTCGGCTGGTATATAAAACTGTTTGCTTCCTTCTTCAAAATAAATTGGAAACTCTTAAACGGTAAATAGAAAATCAAGTCACAACAACAAATAAGTTAATACAATAAGTTATTCATTTAAAAAATAGAAACTTTGTTTCTCACTATACATAAAATAATTAAACAATAACACGAAGCAACACACTAAATTAAGCATAGCATAATAAAATTGTCTAAAACATGTATAGGAGTTGTTTGTGTGTGAGTGTGCGTACGTGTGTGTACGTGTGTGCGTGCTCGCCAGTCGCCGCTGGGTGTGCCGCTGGGTGCGCCGCTGCGGTTGCCAATAGCAAAACTCGGCGCCGAGCTGTCTGCTCGCTGCACTCAGCACATTTAGACCCAAATGTACAATATATTACATTCGTGTGTTAAAAGCTTTCGTGCAAAAAACTCGAGTTACGGTTTACACAATACACATTCCGCTTTATTGGATTTCTAGTAAAAAAAGTTTATATCAAATGCATCAAAAATGTCCTTACACAACTAACATAGTAACATTCTATACTGATATAATGCTATTTGTTTTTCTTTTTTTTTCGTTACAGATAACATTAGGAAGAAACCGAATACACCATACAACTGCGTACACAAAGCCTACGGTCGAACGTAAAAAAAGTTTCGCTTGAAGTCAATTCTTGTAGAAAACACCATTGTTAAATATAAACAGCTTAAATAATAACATATAACATATTATATCAAGTAACAAAATTCCAATGTACAAAATAAACGCATCATTAATAGAATATAATCTTCCAAGCTAACAGAACATACAGTAGTACTGAATTCGAGCAATTGAGAAGCGGCCGAGGTACAGAAGGGTTCTAACGTTTATTGTAAAAGACTCTATACTCGTCTTGATACAACTGCAATATTAAAACAGTAATTAAATAAAATCTGACATAATTATAAAAAAAGAGCAGTGCCAAGTAAAAACTAAATCTTTGTTGCAAAAATGGCAGTGAGAATTGAGGTTGTACGTTTTTGGTGCAATTTCATTGGGCCATCTTATCATTAATTCTTTCCATAGACGTAAAGTTAAAGTAAGTGAAGTTAATAAGTATTACATTTGTGGAATATGGAAATCGACAACCTTACCTTTATCGGGTGACTCCTATAAGGTAAATATCCATAGAGATTAAATATTGGCCCCAAACAGAAGTTCCGTACCCGTGATGTCCCTCGGCCGTTCCCAGCGCGACCCTCACTCCAGGGCGGTGCACCAACCGCCGCACATCATAATTTAAATAAATACGTAATAGTAACACGGAAGCATCCCGATCGATAAAGCTGAAAGTCCCGTCTCGACCCACGAGGATGACGTGAAACACGCGTAAGTTCATAGGACTAGTTTGTTCAAATCCATCCGTCTGGACATAAATGTATACTAAATGTAGAAAGATATTATGGCAACAAACTTTACAAAAATCCTAAAACAATGACTATAAAGCAGGTGCCGCGGCGGGCCCGGGCCGCGACGCGGCATTTTAAAATGCACAATTTAATAATTCCCCGATACAGACACATACATAAGTCGTGAATAACTTCATTATAAAAAAACATGTCAAAAAACCTGACGCGTCGTGAAGTGACCCATTCGGATCGAGAACGAATGATTTCCGACTCGTGCTAGTTTTGGGTTAAATGACTTACAATCTAACCTTATTTTTCTCATAAATCATTTAAAGATGTATCGGTTTGTCCATTCGATCTCAGTTCGTAAATTTACACTTTGTTGTGAAGTGATGATGTTTAAATTATGTGTTATACACAATCACAGACGAGTGCGGGCGGCGCGGCCTACACCAGGTTGTACTCCTTCAGGTTGGACTGCAGGATGGTGTCCTTCACGGCGGCAAATACGAACCGGATGTTCTCGGTGTCTGCAAACAAACAATTATTGTTCAAAAGCACGTCAAACAAAACTGTTTCTTGAATCTTATATGATTTTGCCTTGGTTTCACTCTATTTAGATGCTTAGCAGCCGTTGACGACTCTTTGTTTTATGAGCATCTTTACCACGCCATGAGAATGCAGCAACTGGTTTCCTGGCCACTAGACAAAATTGTAGAAATGGTGTCATTTTAAGAAAAAAAATCCAATAATGTACACGTGTACCAAGATTAATTATGAGTTTAAATGTGGAGATTTGTGTTGTATAATTTCAACGTACATTATAAAGAGACGTATGCTTCTTAAGTCCTGTGTGTTGATGTAATTTAGAAATTAAGCCATATTGCGGTAGCCATCAGCACCTATTAAGTAAATCTAATTACACTTCATACGCGCTATAGTCATTTAGTTAAACGATTTAAATCTTTTTAACCAAAAAAACCTTTCATTCCGTCTCATTCTCTCCACAACGCAGCAATATTTTATCCAGGTGGTCGTCGAAGATACAATGTAACGAAAACTGATATTTATTATTAATGTTACTACGATAGCGTAAGGTAAGATAAAAAAAATCATCCTTTTAGGTGTAAAAGAAAATACCCTGACAAAAGGATGAAATTAGTTCAAAATAATAATATAAGCGTTTATGTTAACCAAATAATAAATATCTTATGTACATTCTATAGAAAAATATTATCAAAATTCTCCATCACCGCAAAATAAAAGAAAATTTTAAATAAATAAACCCATATATCTACACAATTAAAAGGTTAAATAAAACATACATGCAACTATACGTAAATTTTATTGGCAAATTAACACATATAAAAATAAATATAACATTAAGCTAAGTTAAATTCTTTCAAAGCGGATTGCATTATAGTATCCTTAACAGCACAGAACACTAATTTTATGTTTTCAGTGTCTTTAAAATAATCCAAGGCAGCATGCAAAAATTAAAAATAAATAGTAGAACTTGTTAAAACAATCAAAACATGCATTAAAACAATTTATAAGAAGGTTGATGCAGTTTAAATTAGTGAGAAAGTAATATAAAAAAAGAATTATTATTTTTAATCTGCATAAACCTCAAAAAGAACCATAACCAAAAAAACATTCTTAACAATAAATAAAATATGATACAAATCAAGCAATAAATAAAAGCATTTATTTTTTATATTATGATATGGCAAAAAAGCAAGCGGTCACCAGAATTCGAAATAGCGAAGCGATCGCTGCAAATTTCAGACGATTAGCCTACTATTAATCGACGGAGGTGGGACGCACGAAAAGACGATATGCCCTTTTTATGCAAAACCCTCCTCAGCAAAATCCACTTTCCCTTACCATAATTTCCTTGTAACAAAAGGATAGGAAGGGAACGTGGACTAAAATTGAGTCTCCGGCATCCACACTCATCACGCCTGTCTTCTGTATGGTCGTGGTATAGAACTAGAGCCGGTCCGTTCGTGCATCCAACAAATATTGTTATTGCGAGCTCTACCACTGTTAATATTCTACGAACATTATATTCCAAAGAAATGTTTTTTTTTTGTAATGAGTAAGTTTATTATGATTACAATTACGTGAACGAAGTTGTTAGCATGTAAAAATTCAAGCGCACACAAACAAAACCAAAAACATCACAGCTACTATTTATTTGACTAGAAAACAAAATCACCTTGTATACCGAAGCTGCCATGCAACCTGAGATTCTAAAAAGTGTAAAATAAAGAAAAACATGGAAAATATACGATTAGGAAAAAAATAGATTCGATGCAATACGCGAACTAATTGATAAAACTTCATATTTTTTAATTAATATTTATTTTGATTTGGCTTCTATTATAAGGATATATTTATAATCTCTTAATAAATAATTTATATTAAGGAAAATATTACTGTACACGCAAATTACCCTTTGACATAAAAGGTTCAAGGTTGCGCGCAAACTAATTCCAATGCAAAATTCCAAAGAATATTTATAATATTTACCTTATATACAGAATAACATGGATTTTACACGATTATATATAACTAAAAAAAGAATATTAGATATGAGTACATAAGAATACCGTTGCACATAGACTAGAATTGATATAATTTCTTACACACGTAATAAACGCAATGACAATCGGTAAGATTTTATTGAACGAGATGAATAAATCTGAATGATGATGTTTAGTGCATAAGAAAAACGACCCAAAATATTATTATAATAAGTGTATGTGTACATTATCAACTACTGTTAACGTTTTAACCGTGGGTTTCTAAGACCCAAAACCCCGTTTAAATTATTATCTCTGTTTTGACAATAATAGAGTCGTAACACCTTTAAAGACATATTACGTACTTATGCTTAACATGTTGTGGAACCACATTGTTATAGAATAGTATCGTAATTGGGGATCTTTTTATTTCCTACTAGATGGCGCCCGTGATGGAGTCCGCGCGGAATTAATAAAACAATTAGTAGCCTATATGTTCTTCCAGACTATGTCGTATACGTATGACAAATATCCTCGAGACTCGTTTGGCCGTTCTGGAAACACCTTCAAACAAATATCCCCATCCATTCATCCATGTAAACTCAGTCTTTCCCAAAGTGGGCGATAACGCCCCCTTGTAGGCGCTGCTCTCAAGTTGTGGGTTATAGTAAAAGTTTCGTTTAGAATTCTCCGTTAATATAGGTTACAATAATGAATTAATTTAATTTAAAGTTATAGTGGATTTTAAATATGTGAAAATATGGGGGCGCTAAAAAATATTTATTCTCAAAGTGGGCAGTAGACAAAATAATTTTGGGAACCACTCTAATCACATTTATAAAATTAAGTTAGATATTTTGTTATTTCGCGCTTTAAAAATAAATAGATGGATAAACCTCAATTCTCCATACAAAATGGTCTGTAACGCAGTTTATTGCATATAGTAAACAGTTTGTTTGACTTACCTGTCGCGCAGGTGAAGTGCGAATAGATGATTTTCTCGGCGTCGGGATTGAGATCGACAAACATTCGCAGAATAAATTCACGCGCGGTGCTGGCGTCGCGCTGAGGACCTGATGGTATTACCACACGCTCACTAACTACATTTATACAAATACCTCAAGTCTTTATTGGCCTACAAAACGACGTATTATACATGTTAAATTGAAACATTTCATCTTATCGTAAGCGCAATTCCACTACTGAGTTGAACAAAAACATATTGCTATCCCTTTTCCTTCAAAGACTGTAAAAGAGATAACAATATTTTTGTACATATCCAATGGTAACCACGGTTTATTTGACGAAAAAGCGAAAAAAAAGTAATAAAAATTGAAATTACACGAAGTTTTATAAAACCAATAAAGACTCAATTCTAGCTTACATATCTAGCCTAATTAATATCTAGCTAAATCACACAATACAGCGTATACTGTTGTTTGTAAGTCGCGTTAGAATTCAACCTGTGGCGGTGGTGAAATGCGAGTAACAGGATCTGTCCGGATCTGGGTTCTCTTTCAAATATTTCTGAAGGATATACTCTCGAGCCGGTATCGGATCGCATTTCGGACCTAATGATTTCAAAATGCCAACATAAAAATAAAATATTACTTAAGTATTACATAGGATTCAGTTCCTATAATAATTAAAAAAAAAATAAACTGAAAAGACTTTCATGTGATAGTAATTTTCGGGGTATAAAATATACTTAAATTAACTAATTGATGAACAAATTTTGCTAGTATAAGTCAAAATGACGATTAGGAATTTCATGTTGTTAACCAAAGATTGACTTCGAAACTTTTTCATGACTTTCTCATTTCGCCAAGATAACGAGATCCATAGAAGATAAACATCGAGATTTTTTTTAATGTAATACGAACCGTCGTATTCTGGGAAATAGTCGACGAGATGTGAGTACATGATCTTCTCCTCGAGCAAATCCTTTTTGTTCAAGAACAAGATGACTGACGAGTGCTGGAACCAGGGATACGTGATGATAGTTTTGAATAACGCCTTCGATTCTTCCATTCGATTCTGAAATTAAGGAAATATTATATGTTAGAAATAGCTATAAAACAACTTAATAAGTAGCCTATGTGTTCATACAAACGATATTTTACATCTGTGCCATATTTCAGCGAGATCTGTTGAGGATACCTTCTAACAAACATCCATCAATCCATCCCTCTAAACTTTCGCATTTATGACATTAGTATGAGTTAATTTTTTTAGTCTTTTTATTTTCGGTCTTTAATATAATTTTCTCGCCTAATTCTCCATATTTTTATATGTGAGGTCAACAATCTTTTCGTGTCACAAATGTATGCAGCCTTTAATTCGAATTCTAAAATTGATTCGAACAAAACGAGGGCATCAAGTATGAGAAACTAGGAAACAATTCAAGTAATTTGTATTACTACAAGCGTCTGCAGTTTCTCACGGCAGTTTTTATCCTATTGTCATCTATGTAATAAATAAAATGGTCTCACACAAATCATTGTTCTAGAGAAATTGCTATAAAAACAGATTTTACATGCCGATAGCCTTGATTACATGTGTACGAAATAAAGTTTTTAAATCAATTCACTTTCATGAACTAAATACTATTTATATAGAAATTTATATATTTAAGCACCCTAATTAATCCATTATTTTTCTAAATTAAGTATTAGATTTGTGATTAATTTTATAAACATTTGCTAATAGCACTCCTTTGATTAATCGAAGTAGAATAATATTTACATGATAGCCTATGATTAAATACCCTATGTTACATTCATTTAATATTAAGAGCGCCTAAAAGAAGCTGAAATTTTAGTACCTTTTTATAGCAGAATATACTTAGCAAAACTATCAATCATGTAATCTATGTTTCCACAGGGTGTATTAACTCGAAAAATCTAAGGCAAAGTAACACTGGTACATTAAAATAGGTTAAAACAATGAAAGAGTGATTCTTTCATTGTTTTAACCTATTTTAATGTTTACAGTAAAAATTTAATATCTTACCTCATTTTCGGATTCGAATAAAATTTGATCATATTCACTAAGAGCTACTAAGAATATGATAGAAGTGACGTTCTCAAAACAATGGATCCACTTCCTTCTCTCGGATCTCTGGCCCCCCACGTCTACCATCCTGTTGACCACAAATACATATTAATGTAAGTTTAATTTTAAATAAACTTTTAATACGTATAGATATTTTATAATTCGGATATCTATAGGACCGCGCTAAATTCAGCTCTGTCTTTGCCATCTCTAGAATTTGGGCGTGAGTTATATTATTGTTTTCTCAACATACATATAGTTGCAAACGTATTCTTAATTGTTTTGTGATAAAAATGATTTATTAATTATTTGAAACAATATTATGCTAAATTGAAATCAAAAATGTTACATATCTTACGCGTTACTTGAGGAAAAAAATGTAACCACAAGCACAGTGACAATACTATTCAATTACAAAATTAATTACACACAAGCTTCTTACAGCAATCTTAATAATTATATATTAGTGCAGTTTAAATTGTACAAAGGCCAATTAGAATTTTAATCACAATTCTATAGGTCTGATAATAATATTTCGTTACATTTGGCTGACAATCAAATATCCAATTAATTTAAGACTATGCATTTAGTTAATAGAATTGTTAAATGTAAAATTATAAAATCTGTGTAATTTGTATATTTCTAACTGAAAGGAGATCATGCATGATACATACCTTATAGCAGATTCGTTGCGATTATATACAAATTAAAGTTTATTTACTAACTTAGTAATATAAAAACGATTAATAAGCAAGCAATCCAAATTATAATGGGATGTTCGCAATAGCAACAATAATATACATGAATATGTGCAATAAAATTATAGCAAGTTAGTGTTAGGAAATAATAAATTTGATTAATAATACCCCCTAAATTATAATTTCAATAAATACCTAAATCTATGTCATCCAATAATAATTAAACCTGCTTGCACCAAAACCGCCAACTTTGTTAGTTTTAAAATGAAGATTTTAAAGCAATCTTTATACAGTAAAGAATGGTTATAACAACTAAAAAGAATATTTTATCTACCACACAAGCACACAGGATTAGAACAAAACAATGCCATTCCTATAATCTTACATATAAATAGTTAAATGGACCGAATGAAATAATATTAACGTCTTAACTTGAATTTATCCATATCTCATATCAAATCTGCTTGGGAAGCTAATAGAAGCTAGTTCGTGATTTGCTTCGATCTTTAGTAAATTTGGTATTGACAATTAGCCGAAGCGGGCAGTTAGTACCCGGGAGCATACATACCTAAAGATGGGTTGTTTGGGCGGTGAAGGAATAACGCGCTCCCAGCGATCTACCAAACCATGTAATCCACAACACCGTTTTCCTACACTGTGAACATACCTAAATATGATTCCGTCAAGATCGAAAGGATACTCAAGTATACCGGTTGTCGGCTGTCGAGCGCGAAGAATATCCTGTTCGGTAGGCAGATAGTCGTCTTTCTCGATCCTTTCCAGATCGCTTAAATAGCTGGAATATGGTTTAAAAGCAACTCAAAGCCCAAGTATCGCATGCAACAAAATTAATACATCCCAGTTGACATGAAGAATAAAACAAACAAAAATTTGAACATTTAAATCCATGGTAACAAACTGCATTATAAACTTTTTTGTTGTAATAATATCAAATAAATTATTTAATACTGGTTAAAATGAGTTTGTCACCATGAAAGGTATTAAAAAAACACGAGACCCCAATAGTACCCGTAAACAATAACATGCACATCGAAGCGAAGCATTCGCCTTGTAACGTCATGCACAGGCAATATGTTGTTACCTAAATCGAATCTCTTCCAAGTCAAACGGGTACTCAATGATACCCGTAGTGGGTACTCTCACGCGAAGGATGTCTTGTTCGGTAGGTAAGTAATTAGGGCCCGCGACGCGGTCAATCTCCTGCAGGTAGCTATAGAAAATTCACGCTTTTTGTACAACTTTTCATCCACATCAATTGCCAATTATGAGACTTATTACTAACGACATAAAAACCGTTTGTCGTTAGGTCGAAAGGCGCCGTGCCCACGTGGTCATACGACATATAATGTAATTTTAAAACGAAATAATTTGACCAATATTCAATTTTAACAAATTGTTTCTTTCTTATTAGTAACTATAGTTAAAAAAATAAAGTACTTTTCGTTGCTACATTTCTGTAATTTCAAACATTAAACATAAACTATGTTTCAAATGTATTTATTGGCGTTGTTATTTGTATGTATGACTTACTATTTAGCCGAGTCAGTCAGTTGGTACTCCCGCCTGCGGTCGTAGCACTCTTGAATCCCCGAATCGGCCCAAAGGGCCTTTATAGCTTCCACGTAAGGGCTCTCAAAGGTCGTCACACTCTCAAAGTCGATTGATGATATCAACTCCGCCTTTTCCTGAAAGTCATTAAGTCATTATTTAATTGACCTGTTAATTGTATGAAACAGATATTCTAATCCAAATTAAATGAATATTATTAACGTTGGCGAACAAAATACTATTTAAAATAAAGCGTTGTGGCGAAACAGACGGCGTATGATTTATTTCCTGCGTCGATAACAATGAGGAAGTATTAGGTGTATTTTTGTTGTACCTAAAATTCTTTCTAAACAAATTTATTGCCTATTTAATAACGAGGATATATCGAATGGTCTGATTTAAATTGAAGGAATCTTTCTTACGTCAAACCATGCTAAGGATTAAAGTCATGCTACCATCGTGTTGTGGTCCGTGTCTATAATATTAATTGCCACTTGTTAATATTGTATATAATTTGCAAGTAAAATATTGCTTTTTTTTTCGATTTCTGTCATACAATTTAGTGTCCCCCTTCCCATGTCATGCCCGTGTAGCATCTCTCTAACTAGCTATGTTAAGACAATACTTACTGCATTGGACGGATTTCCGTATTGTATTTTGAGTAGGTCCATAGCGCGTATCATGCTCTGCATGGCCATGAAGATGTTCTGGTAGACGAGCTTGATGAAACCGCGCTTGTCGTCGTCGCTATAGCCGGAGCCGTGGATAATTCTCATCTGCTTAATGAACGTTGACTTGCCCGACTCGCCAGTGCCTGTCAAGTATCACCTCCAGTATAAAAGTTTTGTTTCAAAACGAAAGAATTATGGTCCTACTCTAATACCTTTAAACAGTTTAAACATGTAATTTCTTTTAACAAAAAATAATTTTAATGTCATATAATATAAAATACACTCTTTGCCGTTCTAGGACGTGTTGGATTGTGTGGACGAGTGTGGGATAGTTTTTTATTAAATATTAAAGAATTATTTACTAATATAATTTTCATTATCTTGCTTTAAACCACATATCATTAAAAATTAAAAGCTAAATTCAATTTAAACCAAAACTATATGATAATTTAAAAATCAAAGTTTAGGAAAACTGGTAATTTCAGATTATGTATTAAATAAGGAAATATAAAACATAAACAGAACAATTCAAAAAAATGTAAACTCAGCAGAGAGAGAACCTAATTGCCCTTAACTGTGACCTAGGCTGGGGGAAGCCGTTAGTTGGCTTATGACTCGAGTACCACTAATAGGATTGGCATCAAGCTAACTCATTGCTAGTAAATAAACCTTGACAATGGCAAACACATAGCAAATACTTATATTATAGAGGATTTTTTTTAAACATTAAAAATATCCAATTAAGTTAAGCAAGAAATTATGTAGTTATCTGTTATTTTGATCATCACCTCACTTTACATCCCCAGCTGAGAAACTCAGAGCCTACCCTAAGTTTAGGTGCGACTAGGCCATAGTCATAATCAACCATGCTGGCTCAGTGTAGGTTGCTTGACTTCATACATATCTTTGAATTTCTTCGCAGATATATGCAGGTTGCATTATGACATTTTCCTTCCCCATAAGAATGTTGGATAAATGTACATATGTAAATCGAAAATTGAAGAATACATTGCTATGTTACAGGATTTGAACACAGGACCTTCAGATTTCTCAGTCTTATTGAATTTTACTATTTACTCATTAATTTTGGTGTCTTAAAAAAAACTTTTTTCTCAAAAGTGCACAAGTGTGCTTGAACAGAATTAAATGATAAAAGATATTTTTAACAGTAGAAATAATAGTAGTCATTTGAAATAAACAACATTCTGTCATTTGTAAATAAATTTGATTATCTCAAGATAACAATTGAATTAATATTGCTTCTGAATTAAAAACCATAACTTCGTTAATTTTAAGTTTCTAAATTTAAAGGCTAAAATCATACTCTAGTATATGTTTTATCTCCCTCTCTCTCATGTAAAAATTGAGTAATATTCTGTTATATTATACTCAATGTTCAGATACTATTTATATCTACATGATGACTAACCAAATTATTATGATTATAACATTTCATTGTGAAAATCCATTGAATCAACATTTCTATTGTGATAGAATGTCTTATACTTAAACATATATATTCAAATTAAATGTTTACAAGTCAAGGAAACTTTAACCAAAATAATGCATAAAATAGTTATGGTCAAAGAGGAAAATGACTTCATTGGAATTTCAGTAGTAAAGTTAAGTCAAATTGAATACAGTTTAAGAACACTACAGAAATACAAAAAATAATATTATAAAAGATTTAACTTTTTAAATACAGTGAAAAAATCAACATTATCTGACACTAACCAGAACTGATATGACAAAAGTGAAGATTTGTGTTGTCATTTTCTATTCATTCAGAATTTAATTTCATATGAAAAGTATGAAAACTTAACAACAGCCTTACACAAAGGGAGTCATGTTGTATAAATACAATTACCTTAAAAACATTCTTTAACATAAGATATTCTTTGAAATAATTTCAACATTCTAATTAAAATAATTATAATGACTTTCAAGACTAAATTAAATAAAATGCTTATATTTAGTACTAATGTAAAGCCTAGAGACTGATCGTTTTGTATACACTATCCTGTTTTAAAGCATTAACATAAAAGTAGTTCCACAGGCACAATGTGAATGATTACATTAGAACAGGCACTTTAAATAGACACTAACACAACTACAGACAAAGAAATAGACAAGTTTATTGCCTCCTTAGCAATCTATTTCTGTAACTGCATATATAATAGGTTATTTTTATCATGATGGAATATATTTGTGATTAGAATTACAATTAGTTTATTTTTAAAATTACAAATTACTATGTGCCAATGGTACTCTACTACTCTAATTAGGGAACCCTATTTAGATTAGGAATAGGTAGATTTATTCAAGTTAATGGACTTATAGTGCACTATTCTAGTAGGTTTACACTGTCTATAAACTTACAGTCAAAGCTAGATAAGCAAGAGTCCGAGGGACTGCAATATTTATCAATATTTATAGAAATTTCCCTCTTACCTAAGATTCTTGCTTATGGCAGCTATATTATTTATTTTCTAATTAGATAAGGGTACAAGCATGCAGCGGGAACACCAAAGTGTTCACTGATGCCTATGGACATCTGCAATACTACAGGAACCGCAGATACTTTGGCTGCCTTTGAGAAGATTATATGCTTGTCATTTGTATTTGTAGTATAGTTAGTTTTAAAAATAAAAATTATACAAGAATGTTGTAATGTGTAGTTTTTTTAAATAATTTTTATATGCTACATATTTTATTACTTAACAAGTCTTTACTTATTTACTTCTTATTATAATGTTTATACTTCTAAATAATTACATATTTCTGAGTTATCATATAGTTTCTTAAGAACCATCAATTTTACTATTACCATATATAGAATATATTGAAAAAGAAATGTACAAACATTTCTTGTGTAAGTATATTTGTATCATAATTTGGTTAAATCATTTGAGTTTTTTTGCCCAATAACTAGATTAAACTGCATTTATCCATTCAATATAAAGTTAAACAATACAGATAAAAACAGCCGGTAGACATATAAGTATATATTGGAGACCAAATTTGATAGATGTTTTATAAGGTTATGGCACAAGCTGAATATTTGTTAGTACATAAACAGATATATACAATATTAAAGAGCATATAGGTTAGTGAGTTGTAACATCAACGGAATATGAATCATAGTTTGTATTTAGAAATATAACAGACTTGAATTCAAATTACACTAATTACAACTATAGGTAAATTTTACAAGTATTATTTACTTTCATTATTAATCAAAAATGAAATATATTATTTCTATTTATAGACTTAAAACATAATTTGAAATAACCATCCATATAATTAGATTAATCAATACTTCATTGTGTACTTGTGTAAAAAATAATTTTAGGTTAAGTTGAACTTACCCAGCAGGAGCAGTTTGAGTTCTCTTCTGGCATCGCGTTTGTCCTTTCGGAGTTGCCGCTCTATCTCCTGGTTGATTCTTTTCTGTTCTTTGGCTTCCTCCGAAATACAGCAGTCCATGGTTCCTCAGAGCGGAGGGCCGCGGACCGTCCTCGCGCGCGGAGCCCTGTCCTTTCGGCAGGCCTTTCAACCGAGGCACACCACTCCTAAAAATGACATATTATTACACTCACTAATTCACAGGCCTCACAATCCCCGGCTGAATTCACAATCGCTCACAATATCACATACCGACACGAAGACGCGCGTACAATCATCCGAACTAGAAGCTAATACTAAAACCGACAATCCGGTCACTGGGTGTGGTGACTTATGATCGCTCATATACATATACGCTTCTGTCAACTGCCGACATAAACATTTCGAAATCCGTTTATATACGAGCGGGGAACCTTGTGAAGCGATCGTATAATCTTATTAATGTAACTAGATTCAAGAAACCTATGGCTACTCCCCGCACGTGTGTAATAATATGATTAAAACTGTGAGCAAACAGCGGATTGACGATACCTAGGTAATCTACTGATAACTAGAACGGCCTATGTCTAGGTTACAATTTTACTTCCCATGCCACTGTAGTAAAGAAAACACACAAGTGATACACATTTTTATACACATTACGTACCCAAATATATATCCATAGGGCACGATCAAGTATTCCACTTCAATTTATTGCACTAACCACGATTTAATCACTCAAGTCATACAACGTCCGCCTCTCTCAATATGGCGCTGGGCGATTTTGGGCGATGGGGAGTTCTGCGCGTGCGTCGTACGAGTATTAGCGAATTAAAAGTTGTGTATGGAAATTGAGTCAAAGTATGTAAAATTTGATTAAATAAATTATAATATCTAATTACATAAATAAGATATCGTTAATCAAATATAAAAATTAGAATTTTAATTTCCATTTCATGATCATCAAATTAATAATAATTTGACAGCAAAACTGTCATACTGTCAGTAGAAGTAAATGTCATCGCAATCATTCAGTTGCAATCAATTCAATCGAATATTGTTTTTGATATTAAATCGATTATTTCTCTCACACTTTAATGAATATCGAGAATTTTATTTTATACAGAAAGTGAAAATTGAAGCTTTTACGTTAATTAAACTAGAATAGGTAAATAAATTTGTAAAGACTCTATTTTCATTCCTTCTGTGTTCTGTTGGTGCATAGATAATTGGTATTTTATTACACGATTTTTTATTGGGTTAGTGTAAAATGTTTAATTAAATACAAATTATCAAGAAAGTTGTTTTGTAGAGTATTTATTCACAACATGTAAACACTGTATCGCACAAATTCTTGTGGATTTAATTTCTTCTTTCACATTATATTTAATGTTAGATGTTTCAGAAGGCAATTGATATATTGGAAACTAGGAAAGAAGCCTTACAGTATTTGCGTAACATCCAACACTACACAATGTCATATCGTGTACTCGCCCCAGACACAGGGATTAACCTTCAAAGGTAACTCATATTGCTATACCAGGTCACATGGTTTAACTGTTGTCAAGTGTCTATCAGACACCTATAAATATTTAGTACTCTTTTCAATTAATAGGAATTGTGTATCAAGTACGTATATACCATTTTTCGGCACTAGCGAAAATAAAACATTTATTTGGACACTATAAATATTCGTAGCATTTGTGTTATATGATTTTGCGCACGTTCATACGTGGATTACATCATCACTATCTGCTTTCTAGAATTGTTCTTTGTAAATTTTAAAACGTGTATTTTTATTTTTTTATCGAGAAAGGCCCACCCTCTGCGAGGTCTAGGCCAGGTTCTAATCGTATTAGCGATGTAGAAGGTTTTTACATTCGCCTTGTGGCGATTTCAAGAGCAAAGGATTATTATTCAATCGATAACGCCGATAACGCTTTTAACTTCCTTGTTTTAACTTCAATAGACAAACAATTTATATCTTTTTTTATTTGGCAGATTTTTAATGTTTTTGGTTTTGGTTGGATAAAAGAGGACTGGACACTCAAGGCAAGTCTTAAATATATTTAATAAAAATGGAAATTGAAAGAAAGTCCTTACCAACTACATTACAAATCAATTTATTTAGGCTGGTAAAAATTTGTTAATAGGATTGTTATTTGAAAACAGTGATAATTAGATTTGTTAGTTTTTCTGTCGGATCAGATGTCATTTAAACTAACGTATTTTCTATTTGACGACTACTTACTCGAAGTATAACGTTACAGACTTAATGTAATTTTGTTTTTATTCTCAGTGCAAGGAAAAGTGAAACACAGGGAGGAGATTTAGATTAGGTGATATTAAATATACATAAAATTCGTTAGTAAACATATAAAATATACTTTATTATACACATCTTAATTAATTATTACAATCTGTGATATGAATTCATTGCATTGTTTCTTTCTTAATTATCTTATTTGCTACGCACTACCAATATTTACATTACAATTAATATCCTTTTTAACAAGTGTTACATTTTTATACTTTTGGACCGTTTCTAATGATGTATTAGGTGGTATCCAACCACCGAAAGCTTTTTCAAATTCTTTGGCAACAGCTACGGTTAAATAATCGTTGTATCTGCCGGCGACTATTTGTATCCCAACTGGCAACCCTTTGTCGGTGAATCCTACAGGACACGCTGTTACTGGCAACCCCAAAGCGTTGAATATCGTTAAATATCCGCAATTTAAGAACTTGTAGAATATTTTGTAGTGCACATGAGCAGGATTGGGAAACGTTGGAAAGAACAGCACCGCGTTCTCCGATAGGGCTTTCTGAAACAAAGAAAATTGAAAACATTTGTTGTAATGATTTTTTTTGTGATGAAGACCTATGAGCTTATATTATGAGTTTTTAATTACAATTTATTGGTGATTCTTATTTATAGGTTATAGATATTATATTAATACTATAAATACAAAAGTTTGGATTGATGGATCTCGATGTAGTTTGACACAGATGAGAAACATAGTCTGGGAGAACACATTGGCTACTTACTAAGTTCTTTTTAATTCCGCGCAAAAGAAGTCGCAGAGTAAAGTCAGTTATACACATTTTATAAAATATTTTGTATCTTTTGGGCAGTTAAGGTTATATATTTTTTTCGCTAGTACGTTGTACTTACTTGAAAATCAGTCTTAATCTCTTCAAACATTTCAACTAGTTTCTTATAATACCCTGACGGTAAAGCGTCAAAGAATTTCTTTACTGGACCATAGGCAACACATGTGAAGTTATGCCTTGAAACACCAAGCAATTTCTTCAAAACCTCAGGCCACGTCGACACCCAAAACTCCTGTCTCTCTGGATCCGTGTAAATATTTCTAATATGTTCTATTTTGAAAAGAACTCTAACACTTATCTCCCACATGTGTTCGATGTTTTTAATCTTTAGCTGCAGAGTAAGTTTTAGTGAATATAGATAATAATAAAAATGTGCCTACATGCAGATGCTACACTATTTAAAATTCATCCTTAATCCCAATATCGATAACAAAATCAAGATTTATGAATGATTTGATGAATAGATATCGACTAGTTAGAAAGTTATTTAATATTTAATGTAAATTTTTGCATCTACATTTAAGTATTATTTACCTCTTCAACTTCTACATTATATGTATGTTGGATGTATCCCTTAGCTTTGTCCATAGCTTTTTTAACATCTGGTCCAATTTTATCTGTTACATCACTGCCTTCGCCGTCCATGTAGTAGAATTTTATTTTTTGGAAGTCTATCTAAAATGTTGGATAGATTTTTATACATTATTAATGCAGGTCAAAAGTATTTTCTATAAAGTAGCTAAGATGTGAGTTTATTACTTATGTAAGTTTGTTGTTGTTTTAACAAATTTTAAATGTCAATCTTACTATCAAAGATTCTTACTTTCTTACTGATATTATGAATGCGAAAGTTTAGATGGATGGATGAATGTTTGTTTGAATATCTCCAAAGCGACTCAACGGATCTCGATTAAATTTTACAGGGATGTAGAACATAGTCTGGAAGAACGCATACGCTTCTAATTAAGTTTTTTCTTAATTCCGCGTGTACAGAGTCTATAAAATACTTAGAAAATTGTAGATGGGTTTATATATTCCATTTGTGAGTAATAAATATGTGTGTTGTGTAAAATAATGGAAATAAAAACTTACAGGTTTATCAAATGGAATTTCGGGAGAACCTGGCTGTTTTAGAACGTTTAAAAGTAATGGCAAGTCTTCGGCATATCGTGTTAATGGTCCTAGTGTAAAATACTCTTCAAACTGCGGATCCAAACTGTCAGGTATATGTCCTAGAAGCAAAAATGTATGCAAAAGTACGTACTGACTTTAATTTTCTAATTTTCTCACCAAAGTCTTACTTCTACTTACGCTAAGGGAGACAAATACTCTGAGTAGAGTATTCGTCTCTGTCTTCGCGTGCAATAAAATTGCTTAAAAATGAAAATTTGACAAAATTGTCTATCAGAGGGTATATTGTATTCATATAAATAGTTTTATATGACAACTAAACCGATTTTTACAAGTATGGCGTATTTCGATTCGTATTCTTCCTACAAGTTGCATTGGGGTACATTTGGTCTTTTACTAGCAAATAGTTATTATTCTTATATCGTACCTTCAACTGATAACAACTTAGGTGTAGGCTTGTGACCAAATATTCCTGTGAACATAGGTGGTAGCCGCAAAGAGCCCGCTATGTCTGAACCAACGCCCATTATGGATGCCGCGGCCGAAATTAGCGCAGCCTGGAAACAGCAAAGGTATTTTCTTAAAACATGTGAACATGCGGATTGCGCCAAATACATAGAATTAATATATTAAATTGCGCAAAATTAAGCATTATTAAAAATTACGCAAGCGCTTTAAAGTTACAGTTAAATTCATTTATTTATTTCAATAATGCTTGGGAACAATGTTCCTACCAGAGAGTTAACTCATTATAGACATACAAATCTACTCATGAAATAGATGAATAGTGTTAACTCACTTCACCACCAGAAGATCCACCGGCGGTATGTTTTAAATTGTAAGGATTCAATGTGATACCGGTGACGTTGTTATATGTCTCCCAGTTCATGCAGAGTTGTGGTGTATTGGTAACAGCTATCGGAATCGCTCCAGCGGCTCTAGCCAGTCTAACGATTTCTGCATCCTTCTTCGCTGGATTTCTAACGTCACAATCTGTACCGGAGTCATTACACATACCTGGAATGTAAAGTGAAAAAATTGCTTTTACTCCCTTCGAGACACAGTTCGACCGCTATCGCCTTGATGACGTGGATACCGTCGCACCTTTAAATACTTCTAGTTCTATGTCTAAACAGTTTATACTAAAAATTAATGAAATAATAAATACTTTTAAGCTATCTAGAGATAATCAGCTTTATAGAACCGTGAATGAAGACGAAGAGATTTCAGAATATTCCTGGAGGATGATTTAACCCACTGTTTTATGTAATATAAAATTTTTGTTTTTATATCAGATATTCACCTAAGTTGTACAAAATAACGAAGTTAATATTTTAAGCTATTAAGTATAAATTAGTCGATGTAATTATTGTTTAATGAGTGATGTCATAGGCAACAACTAGTTACGCAATATTTTAATATTAAATATATATTTAATTTTCTAACATTTATGAATAACCAAAGAACTGTACACCTAACATAATAACCAATAATTTATTATTTTACATGTCACGGTAATTTCTTTTGATAAGACATTCTAATTGCGTGTTCAGGAAAACATGACTGAGATTTTTATATACGTGATATTAAATTGACTTATTATCCACTTACATGTTATTTTATTTATTCATTATAGTTATTTTAAATGTATTATTTTAGTTTATATTATCAGTAAAATTCAAAATACTTGGTGTGTATAATAAACAGAGTTATAATTTATTGTGATTCCTTAATTTAACATTGAAATCGCAACAGTTTGCTTCATAATATCGCGTAATTCCATTCGATTATTCGTTAAGTTGCAAAGGTTATCATTAATAAATAATTAATAGTATTGTAAATAACATTAAATTACGTTATAATTTACAATAATTGCAAAATGTGTGTTTATGACAAATAGTAAAATGTAATATAATTAAAATATGTAGTCCAGATGGTTTATTTCACTTCATATTTATTATCATTATATAATGCGTAATATAATTTTATTATTATAATGAAAATTGTCTTTGTTTGTCTATTAATTATATCATGAACACTTGACTTTCCATACCTCGTGTTAAATTATGTGCAAGTGCAACTTTATGTAAAGTACATAAAACAAAATTTACGATCTCTATAATGATCAGGGCGAGCGAAGATAGCCCTATACTATACAACAATGTTTATAGTTTTGTAGTAGTATACTTAACTAAAAAAACTACTAGTCTTCGCTAAGAGTTACTACTAACCGTTGGTTTCTGAGTACCAAAATATCCGTTTAAAACATGTTTTTATCTTTGTTTTGTGAAAGATATCGAAAAAGATTTGTTTTATACAGAGATTTTAGCGTCAGAAATCCGCTGTAAGTACGACTAGATAGTAAATAATAAAATATTGCAAGGATAAAGATGAAGTGTTACCTTCAACCGCTATACTCTCCTTGACTGTCATTGGCAAACCGAGAAGCGGGTACATCTCTGCCAGCATGTCCGTAGAGCCAGTGTAAGCTTCCAACATCTTGTCTATTAGCCTGGCGTCTCTTAGGGCCAGCTCGTAGCGAGGCTCAACAATAGCGTTCAAGTAATGATTCACTTCCCTACATCGTTCAATGTAAGCAGATACCACTTGCTCGGATTTTATCTGAAAACATTGGTTATAAAAGTTAGTTGTTAAACTGTTTTGCTAGAAATGTAGTAAGCATGAATCTGGAGTAACTATACAAAGATTTTGTAATCACTCTTATATTACGACAGTTCACAGTGTTTTATTTTTTTATACTTCATTAAAATAACAGATATACAGAGTGTTTTAATAATTAAACTATTATGATTACCTGTTTGTTTCTTATCATCATGGTCAAGGTTGTAGCTGATTTGAAAAGCAAAGGATTCGTTGGTGGTGGACAAGTTCCATTTCTTCGTTTGTTCACAATCCATGTTATTGGTATGACTATTATGGCAAGCAGTGAAACCAGAAATCGCAGAAATCGTCGTAAGAACCAGGGCATCATGACTGTCTGGAACAAAGACGGAAACAAAATTACCAGGGGTCTTAGCAGAGGTTATTGTCGATGGCCATACTTAGTTAATATTTCGTAACATTATTATAATTTATCAATAAAAATGTTGTATAGAATAATATCAAATAGCGTTTGAACACGATCTCTCCTGTTCCATGTAGTTACATATAATTGTATACTTATAATATTTGGACATAACCTTGACATTTTTTATCAGAACATCTAATAACAGAAGAATTACATGTGAGAATATTCATTGCTGTTTTTTCGCTGTTTTATTAAAAGTATATGAATGTAATTTAAACCTTAAACTTTGGTATTTTAACATAAAATAAACCAAACGATTAATTCCTTCTAAACTAATCCTTTGTATACTGGTTTTTAAATTGATATACTGCGCATATTATATTTATGTTCTCATAAATCTAAATTGGATTTTTAAAATTAATTGCTTTTATAATTTAGTCGTACATTTAGAGGCGCTATTTTTATCTTATAATTGTAGTTGTCGATATTTTAATATTTGGCGATTGCATTGTCAATCGTTGGTTTCTGAAACCAAAATGCCTTGAATTAAAAAAAAAAATGTTCTATTTTGTCACAGATAATGAGAGGGATGACGATATTTTTATACAGCGATATTTTGATGTCAGAAACCAACGATAAGACCCTCAAACCAAGTTACCGTAGTTCATCAAATAATAGATATATGCAAAGTAAACTAACTGTAAGGTTACATGGGTTGCCTAATTTTGCGAATAGCTAGAACTCTGACCTCAATATGCACAGACTGTCAACAATCAATCTTATAGTGTCACGGTTAGCAGTTTGAATCCTACTTAGTGTCTGACTGATTAACTACTAAGTTTGTCAAATAGGACATTACGAAAAAAACTAAAAACTAAGACTGAATATAAATATACTTAGTTGCAAAGTTCAAAGGACTAATGTGTAGTTGATAGTTTTATTTTGCTAACCAAATTCCTATACACGTATTTCGTACACGTAAAATAAGACAGAAACGGACATTCCGCGGGTAAACAAATCTAGACCACATGTCAATGTAATAAAATTTATATTAAAAAAACTATTTTCAATGTAAATAAATTACATAGCCGTCATACTGATTTTATTAGTTCCTGTATTCGTTAGATTTTTTAAGTTTATAGCCGAAAACATTCAAAAAATAACGGAACTTGAAAAAAGAAACTGATGAATATTCACAATCTAATGAAATGTACATTACGCATTTGCTTTTTACATTCATAAAATATTCGTGCGAGGCATCGTCTTTTTGCTTAAATTTTAAGTGATTATAAGAAAACCAATGGCTAATGTTTCTTTTTGCAACAAAGGCGAGACTAATACTTGTTTACTAATAATGTTTATGGTATTAAGAATGAAATAAAAAAAGCAGATGGAAATCTACGAAAACATAGCAACTAGAGTGCTATAAAAATTTAAGCAAATAACAATTAATCTATATTAGTATAGTAAGCAATTACATAATGAGTTTGATGGTCTCTTAACAAGGAAGGAATGTGCCACATATTTGTTCGAAACTGGAATAAATTAAAATATCTTGTTGCGATAGAATCACCAATGTTTAACTGGTGGTCTGTTCCGGATACGCATGGATGAATATTTCTTTTTTTTTACAATCTTACTAATATTATAAATGCGAATGTTTGGATGTATGTTTGCTTGAAGGTATCTCCAGAACGGCTGAACGGATCCCGCTGAAATTTGACTTAATTTTAGAACATAGTCTGGAATAAAATATAGGCACTAAGTTTTTTTTTTAGTTCCGCACGGACGGAGTCACAGACGACATCTAATATTAAGTAATAGCCTTTTTTAATCTGGGATATAATGTATCATTTTAATCATAAAATAATTATGGAAATCTGTAGAATATTTTAGAATGTAGGTACACATTCGACTTTCTTTAGAAAGTTATTTCAATCCATATTTTTATTTACAAAATAGCTATTCGAGGTGATAGGAACATATCCTCTCTCGTTTGTAACCTACAATATTAGGCGAGTGATTTTTGACATCATTGCATAAATGTGAGTTTATTATTATGTTTGACATTTATTATTAAGTCTAACGTCTAATTTTAGACGGCAGCAACATCTTATTATGTAAATTTTTTATTGCTATTATTATCCATAAGCATGTTTTCCTACTAAAGTATTGCCTAAAAAAATAATGATATAAATATAGGAAATCTATTTTTGTTATCTACGTATGTAACAGTGTAGATAATAAAAACAAACCGACCACATCGAATTACATATATAATTTATCGTAGAGTTCCTTGTTTTTAATTAAATTAAAAGTTGCTTCGTATTTTATATTATTTCCGGATATTGTTAGTTTTCAATATTAATAAAACAATGGCAAAACAGGTTACATATATTGTCCAAAAAACAGATGTGAATCATTATTAGTGGTAAGGTTGGGTACGATTCGTATTACCTATAATATAAAGTAGCATTATTTTCATTAAACTGATATAAAAACGGCTAAACACTCACGTATATTCGTCCGGTGGCGGCACCGACTAGT